CATCTCACACGGCTCCTAAGTGATAAAAGAAAGAAGAACTCCTCTTCTTTCTTTTTTGATTACCTTCCTCGCGTATGTATAAGACCGAATTCATTCGATTTCTAAAAAAGATTACTAATCCTTAACTTTTCAAGGAATCCTTCATCAGCGGTTGTGAATTACTGATTTTTTCAATTAATACCGATATTTTAGCAACAAATCTAATAAATCTAAGTGTAGTGCTTGGGGTCTTGATCTTTTTTGGAAAGGGAGTATATATATAATTTAGTTTTAGATGACGTAAAAGCGAGTTTGAGCTTCAAGTCTTGGGAGACATGGTGTTTTTCAAGACGTGACGATAAATTTCTATATCATATATAATATTATATGTATAGATATATGTTTTCTACTATTACTCAATGAGTCGATGATATAAACAATTTAAATTAGGTTATAGATTAAAAACTAACATATAAGACATTACGAAAGTGTAAGAGAAATCAAATATCACTATAACAAAATTGATTTTATAGGACGCATAAAATGTAGAAGCGTCCTTAAAATTATTTCATGACTTAGGTTTATAAGACCAAACCAAAAAATGTTTTATCTAAAAGCGTTACAATAGATTTATATGACGTTTTAACAAGTTTTTAGAGGACACTTTTAGGCAACTTATGACGCTTTAAAAGTAAAATGTCGTATTAACTATTTTATATGTATGATGGGTTTATCGGACACTTCTCAAAAACGTCTTATAAAAATAGCTAATAAGACATTTATTTTAAAAACGTACTAAAAACATCCTGTAAATCTATTATAACGTTTTTAGATATGATGCTTTGTAATTTTGTCTTATAAATCTAAGTTTTTTAAAGTAATTTATTAGGATGCTTAGACAATCTAAACATTCTATAAAGCCAATTTTATTGTAATGTGTCGTGTTATAAATATATATGTATTAGACGTGTCACAGACTTAACATAATATGAACAGTGATAAACAAGTCTTAAGTCACGTCGTGTTTTCTCAAAATTTGTGGATATTTACATGATTCCTTTTTATATTCCATTTTTTAATTACATCTACAAAATATGTTAATGTATTTTTGAACTTTTACTCCATCCTACTAAAAAAATGTACAACTTTTTATTCCTATTCTAAAAATTTCATTAAATAAGGGATATTTTCATCTTATTATCGCTTTTTTTAATCTTTTTACCTGATCAAAATTGATTTCTTGATTTTGGTCCTTTTGGTTTTTTTGATTGGGTAAAAAACAAAAATCAATAAAAGAATAAAATTACTCCTCATTTAACAGAATTTTTTATTGATATTTACTGGCTGGAATCAAATCTAGTTGGTCATCTTATAATTTCAAAACTTACCGAATGAAAGGTGTTACTTTTGACAAACAGTCACTCAATCTCCTAGTTCTTTAAGGGTGCGTTCGGTATGCAGATAAGACATGATAGGACAGGACAAAACATGACAGCTGTTCAGCGTTTGGTAAGACATGACAAGACTGGACAGAACTGGTTAAAATGGCCAATTTACTCCCAGTGAGCTGTTTAGTGTTTTTTTAACTAAATAATCAATATAAACGTTAACAAATACGGTATGCAAAGTATAACTTACATCAAACCACTACTACTTGCAAAAATACATTTGCAAAAATACATGATTTCATAATCAACTAATGATATATGAAAAAAGGTAAATATAATATAAGCATCAAAAATCCATTATCAAAGCAAATCTATATGCATTCCATATTAAGAAGAAAAAACTACTACCAACAAGCCGCACAATCAATTAAAATGGATTAAATATCAAATAGTAAATAAAATATAAGCATCAAGAAAACAATTTGGCTAGTGATCACATATAGTATCATCACATTCACAAAACTTGGATTCCAGAAAACAAAAGAATTCACCTATCACATGTACAATCACTCATGTAAGATCAAAATCGAACATTTACTACTTTGATCAAGGGAAAACATACAAAATTCATCGAAAACAACAAATTGCATGCGTGAATCTTACACAATACGTTTGACGGTGATAAAATCAAGAAAACAATTTATGTAATTTATTAAATTATAATAGAATAATTATTTTTTATAACAAAATATATCATTTGAAGTTTTCGTCAAAACAATTAAAATGACACCAAATAAAAAGTTTGTGGTTTTCTATTTTTATTTTTATCTCTTTTCTACATTATTTTTTATTATTAATATATAATAAATTACATAAATTAATAAAAATAAAGAAACCGTATAAAAATAATATTTTGAGGACAGTAAAATGAAATTTAAGAAACATAAAATACGATAAATTAAATATAAAGAATGAATAAAATGTAAAAGAGAGACCTATTTGATGTTTTAGAAGATAATTAAGTTTTATTTTGAGGTTATATTGATAAAATATAAGTCTGTTCCACTATGTTCCTGTCTGTTCCACATAAAATTTATGCCAAACATGAGACAACGATCTCTATCCTGTTTTGTTCTTGTCCAGTATACCAAACGCACCCTAAGACAACATAAACCCATGACCTTCGGGAATCATACTCGATGTCTTACCTGTTAAGCTATTTCAAAAGATTACATATTTTTTAATATTTTATACCGATAAATGTCAGAAATCCGTAGATTCAAACTTTATTTTCCTCTAAAAAACCAAGAATTATATAAGAATTGACACTTTATAGAATGCAAATAATATTTTATTGATTATATATTTATTGACTAATTAAATAAAAAAACCAAACCTAATTCACACATTTAGTTTTTCATTCACACCATTTCTGTTCATATTTTGCTTGGAACCCACCTTTAGAATGGACTTCAATGGCTTTAACTCATCTCCTTCAATCTCCATTGAAGGCCATTGCTCCATTGCCTTCCTTTTTCTCTTTTTATTGCTTGTATAATCCTCTATATACTCTACATTATGGTTAATACTCACCGTCTTCCGAGCCGCTTTCGGTTTAGCCGCCACGTCTCTCCCGTTTTCACCTTTCGTTGAACCAAATGGGTGCAACGGTGGTCCATTAGGGTCCGGTTTATCTTCTAAAACTGTGATGGTCCGTGGACGTGAACCACCTAAAACAACAGTCTTGCTAGCTTGGCATCTAAACCATTGTATCACTGACTCGAAAACGTGATGACCAGAAACCAGGAGATAACAAAATGGGCATCTCGTGGTTGTGTTGAGATACCGGTAGATGAACAAGTTGTTGCACATAAGACAGCCCGGGTCCATCGTGTTGAAAGAGAAAATATAACTTTTTCGGGATTTTTTAAGATTGATTTGTGGAATAACATGTTTAAGGGGCAAAATGAGGTGGGTGTGGTTTTCATTTTACTGACCTGAAGAGATTTCCTTGAAGATGAGGTTGAAGTTATTCTTCACATGTGAATAGAAGGTTGCTTCCAGTTTGATGCCTTCCTCATGTTGAAGATGGAGAAGGAATAGGAGGTTTGCTTCAAAAATATTCTGCTTTTTGGCTTTTGCTTTGAGGATAAGTAATCTTTATCTTTACATCCTTGGCCTCTGTTTCTTTGAAGCAAAAGGAAGACATGAGAATGGTTAGAAAATGTCGAAAACGCCCTTGCCTAATATCGGCTTATTGATTCCCTAATCACCCGTATCATATTAGCATTAGAACTTGGTATCCATGTATGTGGCTTAAGTTGTTTGTACTAGAACTAAGAGGCGGTTTGGATGTTTTTCAATTAAGCCCTATATAGATTAAGATGTCCGTGTGGATTAAGCTGTTTGTACTAGAACTTGGCTTGCATGCAACTAATGAGGTGTTTGGTTGCTTTTTCACTAGGCACCTGTATGGATTAAGTTGTCTGTATGAATTAAGCTAAATTTATGTTAGTTTGTGTGGACTAAGCCTCCCAGACTTAGATTGATCTATACCAGACAGTAACTCAAGAACTCACATGAGAAGAATATAAACCAAACCAAACCAAACCAAATGAACCCGGCATATCTCACTCGAAAGCAAGGTCTGGAAAGAGCGGGATGTATGCATACCTGTTCTCCACCCCAAAGGATAGATGAGTTGTTTCTGTGAAAACCCCTGGCTTGTGCAGTTAGATGAGAAGAATAACCGAATATGAAGGATGGAATTGAATCTTTATTAATATCAGATGATAATAATACAGTAATTCAAGCTATCGATTATTACCATGATGGTTTTACCTACGATTTGGACTAGTAATCAATTCAAGGAAAAAAGGTACAAAATTTTTGACAGTTAGAATATTACATGTTTGTCGTTAAATTATCTCACCTTAAACCAGTATTACATAGGATTTAGAATCTGGCAGCAAATGATTTCGGCTTTAATCAAGTCTTACCTGGTTTTACAGGAATTCGTCCACACAGACGCCAATATGCAGCAGGCTGAAACTGAGACTTTTCGAAAACCCATATATCACGAACAAGGACCTAAACAAACAACCGGTAAATATCTTGGAGATGAGAGAAATAAAAGATAAAAGGATAGATAATAAAAGGAAATAATCTGTCTTTTCTATTTGTTTATTGACCAAGTTTCGCCTAGTTTTAGTTAAAGAAAAGCATACCATGAGAACAAATTCTGGTACTTTAACAAGCAAACATGAATTTGTAGATCACCTGTATTATCTAAATGTGCAACTACAATGCGATAAAACCCTGTTGTACAATTATTTTTAATAACTTGGTGGAGGGTTCCCCCATTCTCTATTTCTTTTAGGGTTCTGCCTTGAACTCGCCCTATATATATATGTGTGTGTGTGTGTGTGTGTGTTTATATGTATGCATGGTGAGCAACAAGCAATGATCCAGGATAAGAGCTACGTTAAGAGTTAAGACAGTAGGCAAAGAACTTGCAGCATTTGAGATTCTGGAAAAGAGGAATAAATTCACAATGGATTATTATATGTACAAAAACAACTAATATATACACACACACAAAAGAGGGGGGAAGTTCAATTGCAAACCTTTTTTCCGTTGTGAATTGGGCAACAAAGGGGAGCGTGACACATGTCCCCAGTTGTCCACATTCATCATGAATAGGACGTTGAACATTCATGATGAATGATAACACATACATGATGAATGATAGATATTCATGATGAATATCCCTTAAATGTCTCAGACACATGGCACACTCTCCTTTGTCCCCTGGTTCACAATGGAACTTACTTTTGCAACCGAACCTTCCCCTATATATGTATATACACACACAAAGTGCATCAATCCAATACCTCCTTATCCCTATTTCCAGCAACAACAGCCCCTTTTGAATTGTAGGCCTCAAATTTCTGAATCAAGCAATACAATCTAATCAATAGTTTCCAACATCTGAGAAGCAAAATATATATGCCAAAAGCACATAGACAGATCTAATTAACTGATCGAACTATATTTATCAACAATAAATGCCGGACTAAGTTGTAAGTTGTGAACTGTCAAGGCATAGCTTAGGTGATGGCTAGTTCCCAAGAAGCTACATTATTGAAGCGATGAAATGTTTTATCTGTTATACAACTAGGCTGACCTTATGTGACACTGTTACAATTAAAATGTCACGTCATTTGTTCAATTGTACTTCCATTTGAATTTGCAACATTCTATAACAAATTAAAGCAAATCTAAAATCGAAGCTTATAGAATAAATGGCAACTCTCCTATGCAAAGAATATATGTTGAATTTGCAAAATTAGTAAATATATCATATGAGGAACCTAATACTGATATTGTATAGCCTTCCCTTCATGAATCTCATGCCGATAATGATGAACCTTTTTAGTTTGCATTCGGTAGTTGTTTCCAGCTGCTACAGTAAATAAAAAGTAAAAATAGGAAAGATGGCATTATAGTACTACCTACAAAGGATTCAAGTCACTGAGAAAAAGTATGACTTATCATAGAGTATATATTTAAAAATTGACCACCAAATATTTGTTCATTACAAGAAAGAATTACTTCTACCAAAGAAGGGTCAAGCATTGGTCTAAAGACAACCACTACTCTTTTGGCTCTTCGTATATAGAGACACGATTCTTGGCATATGGCAATGAAATAAAACTTTAACACACAAGTTAGTGGCAAAGTGTGAGATCCTAGTTCAAAACTCGTTGGTGCTATCACCTCTTGTTTTCTTTTTGACGTATGTAATATTTATATACGACAAATACTTGCGCACACTCCTCACCTTTGGTGAGGTTTGAACCCTTGACCTCCGGGGAGGTTGGGCCTACCGGTAACACCAGTACTGTTGGGCCAATGACCCTTTGGTTGATATCACTTCTTGTTGTCTGCCATGCCATTTCCTTTTTCTCAATAGGGAAAGTTATGCCATGTTCAAGTGTATGTCGTAGTAGACTTGGACCCCATAAATTTAGTCAGCCGAAGGTCGGGCACCATGGTTTACCCGCAACATAAATAGTTAGTCTCCATTTGCCATGATGCAATGTCGCTCAAAAGTACCACATGTGATAATAGTAGCCCCGTAAAGGACAGGAGCACCTAAGTGTTGCCTTTCTACTGATTTTTAATATTTGGTCCATGCTCCATGGGCACCATTTACAGAGCAGTACAGTTTGTAACCCTAGCTTTGCTGGCCATAATTTCAAACCTACTAACATCAATCTTGGAATGCTTCTTCTACGTAAGCAAGTGTAAGTGAACATAACTAGATCTAAAATGTATTTCTCCATTTTGTTCTTGAACCTAAAATGAACTCCTTGAGTTATTATCTGAAGTCTAAATGTTAGGAAGCTTCCATGACTACAACGTAATCAGCTTTTGTAATTTCAGGGGTCATCTTCAAATCAAAAGGCATAACTTATGAAAAGCAAATAAGAGGATTATCTGGACTCTACTGTGTAAGAGTACATATTCACCCTACAAAAGTACTGGAGGCCAATCTTCTTTGGTTTTTAAGAGTAAATGTGAATCTCCAAAGACTCTTTGAACACCCATTAAATGATGAACAATGCAGTTGATGGCATTGGCTAAATAGGAGATTGAAAAGAGAGCCTCAGGGTACACTCACTTCTGTATTTTTGTTTAGATGTCTTAACCTCCTTCCAACGATCTCTATCAAAATCGACTTTGAAGCAATCATTCAAGGCAAAAGGGTAATAAAACTAAAACTATCTTCCCCCAAAAGTTGGTCAAGATTGGTCCCTAATAGAGGGCTAACTCGCAGAAGAAATACAAGAAGAACCATTACAAAGGAGAAGAATATTTCAACTTGAGTTTATAAATAGATACATTACAACCCACTACAGAAATCATTCAACAAGTTGCAATAAGGGAGAATCCATGGATAACCTGTTTAGAGAGAAACTCAAGTGTCAGCTGTATGAATACTTTACTCAGGTCATCACGATCAACTCCAATCTGAGGGAACAAAGAAAAAGATGAGGAAAAAAAACATGCACTTCATCGTCATATATGCATTTTCAACTTCAACTAAGAAAATGTTCCATGTGCTTAATAGGGGAGTTGGTAATACAATGCAAATCTAGTATAGCAATCACTTATACAAGCGTTTCACCTGAAGTAGAAACAATCATCAAAGTGAAGGTTGGTAAGAGCTATGTTAAGGTCTTAAGTAACAAAGAGAAGGAAATTTCATATTAGAAGAAGGCAAGTCCAACGTGGGCACTACCCGACTTATTTCAGTATTGCATATACGACCACCCAATCATAGTACGTAGTAAAACAGCACAAAGTACTCACGTTTAACATGCAAAGATACAGGTCAGGACTTATTAGACAACATATTCCTTGAAATGTGAAAATACATATGAAACAAAGGCCGGTAGAATGAAGGTTGTCAGTTGAAATGCTTTGAAACACTTATTAGTCTATTTCAATTGAATCTACAAAAGTCGTTTTGAAATGCTTAAAATATATTTGTAAAAGAGGCCGGTAGATACCTGTTTGTGCACAAGCCTTTCTATTGGTTACAAATGCAAAAAAAAAAAAAATAGTGTCTTTATGAAATGATACTTGCCATTCGAGCCCGTAGAGTTCGAATTTTAATGACTGGCTCTATCATTTCCCAGTAAACTTTATTCCATCTAGATTCTCTTTGCTTAATTTCACTCTTGAGTGCCTGTGTTATAAAAGAAAAAGACATAGAACTCGAGTTATTATAGGCAGAGAGAAAGCAGGAAAAAACATAATATAAATTCAATTGTGCATCACAGTGCCATGCTGAAACAAAAACTTACAGAGTACATGGGCTCTGTAACCATTTTTCTCAGTGATGTTTTGTCACCATTTGCCATTAAAGTGTTTATCTGAAAAAGAAATGTCAAAATAAGATGCATAATGATATAGATACAAATCACGACCTAGTAAACCAACAGAGAATCCACTGTAAATCAAACCCAGTAGGGTTCTTCCTCTTCTTTTTTTTCTTTTTTGTGGGGGGAGGGGGTGATGTACGTTGGCCTGGCCTCTAGCTCGAGTAGGGCAGTTGTTACCATGAAGACTCCCGGTTTGTGCAAAGTGTGTGAAAAGAAAGGGTAAAGTTTGCTCAAATTTTTTTACAGAAAAAGAACATAAAAACTTGAAAATACTAAAGGTGGTGCTAAAAACGGAAATGAGTAAAAAAGTATGCAACAACAATCCAAACAGACAGACAGACAAGTAAACAGGGTGAGCATAAAATCCACTTGGGATACTAGCTCAAGATCCTAAGATTCACATCTTACAAAACCATTTAACCACCTCCTCCAACTGTTATCAAATTCCACCATCTTATTTACATATCCCAAAATCATCATTCAGCTCATTTGCCGCTTGTAAGACTCTTGACTTGAATCTTGACAGACCACTTGAAATACTTTGTATAGCCATAATTCTCTTGGATAAAATCATACTCGAAATTTTATATATAGTAAATCATTGGATGAAGTAATTGGCCTAATAGCCACGATCCAGTATGCTACTGATGACTAGGTAGGATAAGAATCAAAGATCAAATTTATAGAAAATGATTAAATAACTAGATACCACAGAAGCTTAGAATCTTTCAAGAATCAATCTGCAAACAGTTGCACAAAACTGGAAGAAAGTTTGGAGAAAACTCTTGATTAGCGGAATATGTTTTAAACAATTCAATAACTAATAATCATCAGGACTACTTGAACTTATATAGATGATGGGAAGTGTTAACTAGAAATAGGGAACAAGAAAACTAACCAAAGTTATAAAACAATTTATGAGCTAATAAAATATAAAAACTGAACTACCCTAGATCTGAAATATTCCAGCCCAGTTGGACACTAAATTGAACTTGAGCAATATCTTTATAAAATTTCATTTTTCCCAAAACATGCAAATCTAATCATTCTCCCCTCCATTAGAGTAAATCTGACATAGAAAGTGTTGGAAAATCAGAAATCATGACCATTAAGCCATTCCCTCAAGCATGTTTAATGATTTATGATAAGCCTTCAAAGGAAGTCAGATACACCTATATAGCCTGAAAAGCTACAACATGTTTGAGGGATATCATCAGTGATATAAAATTTTGAAAGAGAAACATTGATATCAGATGTTTAAGGGTCTTTTAGATGGTACAGTTCCATTTTACCTATCACTGCCATCTTCTTTAGATGATGAGAACTCCAAAGTCATTAAGAAACCTTGATCAAGTAACTCGGCTACACAGATATATTCAGGCCTGTACTAATTAGTGATGTTGATTTTAAGAATCAATGCATTAACTCCAAGGGTGTGAAGGATGCGAATTAGTCACTCGTATTGGTGCATATGTGATGGCTCAAATGAATAGACTTGGGCTCAATAAATACATTAACCATGACATAGTCACCGTGTATAAATTCATAACCTCCACATGTACATCAGTAAGCGCATAATCATTGTTACCTAAAGAAAATTATTAATGAAAGTTTACATGACAATGTAGGTTTAGAGAAAAATGTGAATTTCTTCTTTGAGAATAATTGGTAGAGTACAGCTTAACTTATAGGATTTACAATAACCAAAGAGTAAGGAGCATGCGAGGCACTTTATGAATGTATCCTGTTGAAGGCCCAATCTCATGCCTCATGCAGCTTGACTTCTTGTCCTTTCATGACTAAAGTTTTCACTCACAATCAGGTCTTACAGGTGGAACCACAGTGATGTCGCATGACTCTGGCTACACCCTTGTTGTCTAGACTCGTATGGCATGTCTTCAGGTTTATATGCATGCATGTCAAAATGGTTGTCAAGAATCTTCTAAGACACAAAGGTGAAAGTTAGCTTACTAGCTCCCTCACTAGGTAATATTTAGGTCACCCTTAGGAAAACCTAAAGGACTGTCCATATCATTAGAGTCTATTGTTTTTTTGGAAATGGGTGATCCCAGGCTTCACCCAGACTAATCCCATGGCAATTGTGACTGTAGGCTTCGCCCCCAGCCCTGAGGTGAATCTCCAAGTGACCACAAGCGTATATGTAGATGGCAGGATTCGAACCCGGGTTGATTTTATTATCCCCTTGTCCTTATCCACCATGCATGCTACTACTCTTGTGATTATTAGAGTTTGTTGTTGTAGAAATAGTTGTCAAGGCACCACCTAGGCATCAAATGGGTACCAAGGTGGGTTTGTAATGACCAGGCAAGTTGTTCAATATCCTCAAAATCATCAACTCGGACACTGATACGAATTGGGATTTAATTAAAAATGATGCAACTAAGCCTAGAATATTGCATGTGTATTCTAGAAGGGGTAAAACGGGAAATGAGAAACGTGGCTGAGGTTTGTTAGAGGAGAAAGAAGAATAAATAGTGGAGGGTGATCTTGTAGTGGGTATTTTGTTTTCTTTCATAATTGTTTAGGCTCCAATCTGTTGATTGTGAGAGAGGGTCTTACCTGAGTTTTATTCCTTTGTAATCTATCCGATTCAAGTTCAATGAATTCATCATCTTCTTCCTCCCATTTTTGTATTCTTGTTTTGCATAGAATTGTTATCGTTACCCATCATTGGTCCGACCTGCCCTTGACTGCCATTTCCTTTTGTTTTCCGTTTGATTATCGATGGAAACTCATTCTGTTCAACATCGACTGGAGCAACATGAGGAGCTCATTCATCAAATTCAAGCGGATGTTATCGATATCAAAACCACTCTGCAGACATTGGAGGTGGATAGGGCTGAATCCAGCGAATTTCGTAAGATCATGTTGGGATGGATGAAACAACAAGGAAAACACCTGTTTCCGGATTCAGGGAGTGGTTCAAGATTAGGCGATCAATTTTCGGGTCCTTTCTTCGATGTTCACAACAGCGGCGGAGGACCTGGTGGTGGTGGTGGCTATAATCTTCACATAGTTGCTGATGGTTTACCTTGGGTAGTGAAGAAAGTCAAATTACCGGAGTTTTCTGGTTTTGATCCTCAGGGATGGATTCAGAAAGCTAATCTGTATTTTGACATCAACAGTACCCCAGCCCATCTCAGACTACGTTTGGCACAATTAAGTATGATGGGGGTGGCTCAACATTGGTTCACCATCGTCATGCAGGTTCATGAGGCACTTACTTGGGAGCAATTTCAGACTGAGTTGCTGCAACGATTTAGTGGCTTGGAGATCCAAAATCCTTACGAACAGCTTGCTAAGCAATCCTCCTCCATCCATGATTATATCGACGATTTTGAATACCTTCTATCGTTGGTTCCTCGATTACCGGAAGCGCAGGCGTTGGGATATTTTGTGGCAGGGT